AAGCCATCAGCCCCACCTCATCAACCAAGCACAGCTTGTTTTCGTTATCACCATACATGTAGCTTTTCGCTTTGCGAATGCCTTGAGTTTGCAATATGTGAGGACCAACAAGAGAATCTTGGCGCCCACCAGCCGTGTTTGGTAACGTTGGTGGTGCTGTGGGCTGTGTCCCAATTTCGTTTCTCGAACTCCGAGCACGCTCGTTTTGGGGCCAACACGAGCATTTTGGCGCCGGCCAGCCTCTGGAGTGGCGTGGTTGGGAACGCTTTTCATCGAGAGGCCACGGGCGCAAAAGATACGATTCTCGTCCGTGTCTTGGCCACGATCACTTGTCTTCTATTCTTCGATACACCCTTCTCACTGGCACGTCGTTTTGCACAAAAACTGTTTCCACTTCTTGGAATCGTCCCGTCCCTTAACGAAACGCTTCTCACACTCCCAGGACGGCCTCCAGATCGGCTCGGCGACGCACGTCGTGAGCTGCTTTGCCGACGACTCTCAGCTATTCGCAACTAACGAAGCCGCTCTTCAGCGCCAGCTCGCGCTCGTAGACCACTTCTGCAGCCTCTCCGGATTCAAGCTCAACCGAGACAAGACCCAAGTCCTCACACACTCGCCGTTGCCCAACCTGCCGACGTTGCAGCTCGTTCAGCCGTCGCAGCCGACCAAGGCACTTGGCATCTTCGTAGCTCCGAACCTGCCGCGCAGCGCACGCTGCGACTACGCACTGCGCCGCCTTCGCGACCGGCTGCTCCTTTGGCGACACAAGTCGACGACCTTGGCCGGCAAGGCCATCATCCTACAAGCCGTCTGCCTGCCGGTACTCTGGTACCAGCTCGCGTGGGTCGCGCCGGACAGCGAGACGGCCGACTGCATGATAAAATGATCCTCCAGTTCATCAACGGCGAACCGCCGGTCATCGGCGAGGGTGCACAAGGACACTGGCTGCTCTACCAAAGCACCGTCTTCGCGCCGAAATATCACGCCGGCCTCGGCTTCGGCCTCAAGTCCGCGTTCTTCACGTGGTCCGCGCGACACCGCGGCCACTCACTCCGGTTCTTGCAAGCCGTGCTTACGACGTCCCCGGACCCAGCCTGGTCGTCGCCAAGTATAGCCGTCATCGCCAACGCCTACGCGCCGTGGGGTTTGTCGACCTCGCATTTGCCGACCTCGCCTTTGCGACCCGACGCTCCCCAGGATATGGCGGTTGCTCACGTCATCGGCAGTGCCCAACCGGTTCCAGTTCATGCTCGCTCACCTGCTGGTTCGACATGCGCGTGGGGCCCAGCACGCTCCAGGCGCCGTCGCCGCTGGTCCACGCACAATCGCTCTAGTCCAACCAGTTTCTTCCTTTAGATAGAGGTAGTTTCGTAGAAAAGACCACACGATGGCACACTCGGTACAGACGAACGATGGCCACGATCGGGATCACCCACGCTCAGCACGTCCACGCCTTGATGCTCACAGACGCCCCGACGGAGACGCTCGCGACA